AAGACACCCATTTGGGGCCAGGCACACCTGCTGGCGATCCAGAGCCCTCCCTGGACAGGGAGACAAGGCTGACATCCAGACTGTCCCCCTTTGCAATCTTCTGCCCCAGAGTATGAGCCCTGTAAGGGAGACTCACTGAAGGAGCTTCTCCAAAATACAACTCTGCTTGGGCCTTATCCCAGAAATTCTTATTTCATTGGCAAGGAGTGGAGAGGGCATCAGGAACTTCCCAAAGCTTCCCAGGAGATTCTGATGTATAGCTGGGGTTGAGAAACCCCTGGGGTTGTAGGTGGGAGACACAAACGCAGAAAGGGAACTGGATGAGGTCATAAAGTGGTGTCTTGGGCCTCGTGTGTAGAACGAGGAGAGTGGGCTGGAGCGGTAAAGAGAGTAAGGCAGATGAGCCGCGACCAAAGTAGGGACTCCCGGCTTCATCACAGGGTCAGACTGCGGTCCCCACCCTCACCTTGTCCCCTTCCCCTGAGGGCCTAGAACAGAGACCCCAACCTCTCTGCTCTGCCGTGCCCCAGGGATGGCGAGATGGGCGGACCCAGCCTCGGCTCTGAGCCTCCTCAGACACGTCAGCGAAACCGGAGCCAGCCATCCTGGCCGCCGGCATGGTCCCCGCCTGCCTGGGGGGGTTGGCAGACTCCTGGGCTGGGCCACTGCCAGGCCTGGCCGGCAGTGTTTAGCCGGGGTGGGGAGGGGCAGCACTGGGAGCCAGAGGCCCAGAGCCTCAGGGTCAGACCTGCAGCACCTGACCCCTGCACCCACTCCGCAATATCTGGCACAGGAAGGGGCTGTGCTGGCCTCGTCTGTCTGTCTGTCTGTCCAACCCTATGCCCCCACCAGCCAGGCGTGTGGCCTTCCCCAGCAGCAGTGAGATGTGCAGCCTGAGCTCTGATGCGGTCCCCCAAATGCCTGGGTCCCACCCACTCACTAGTACCTGCCTGACCCAGGGCCTGTGTGTAAGTGGGTGCCTCCAGATGTCCCTCACACTCAGAGGTGGGTGGGGGCACCAGGGTCCCTCTGAGGGCTGAAGAGGATGTCCTTACTCATAGAGCCCCTCCCTCTGCTCCCTTCCCCCACTCCCAGGTCATATGCTGAGGGGGCCTGGCCAAAGGACAGCTCACTCCCCACCCCCTTCCAGAACTAAATACACTCATCAGGCTGCTCTTTCCAGCTTCTCTCCCACACCGAAGGGTGGAGGATGGAGGGCAGCCTCCCCATGGAGGCCTCACTCTGGGCGTAGGGGGGCCTCCTGTCTGTGCTGAAAGTGGCGTGAAGCCCCTCCCACACCGTGGCATCCTCACCCCATATGTGCAGAAGGCAGAGCTCAGGTTTTATGGGTAACACCTTCAGTAGCTAATGTTTACTGACCACTTAGCATGCTCTCCAAGTACAAACTAAACAGCCCTGACAATCAGGCACTATAACCAGGAACGCCCCCTCTCCCCTGCCCTTCACAGACGGGAACCAAGGTAAAGGACCATGGCTAGACTGTCATGCAACCACACAAGCAGTGGGACCTTAAAAAGCCCCATCCCAGCAACTGTCCCCTGGAGGGCAGCACAGCCAGCAGCAAGAGCCTAGGCCTCAGTTTCCTGCCTCTTCCCACCACACCATGGCGGGCCAGGCCAAGGTGAGGAGGCTGCAGAGTCCAGGGGGAAGGGCGCCGACCTGGACCCTTTGCCCTCCTACTTCCACTACCCCCCAAGCCCCAGGGCTGCCTCCAGGAGGCTCTCCACACCCCTAGCAGAGGGAAAGGTCCCACCTCCCTGCCTCAGGTCAGCAGATCAGATATCAAAGCCCAGGCCCCTGGTCCTTCAGGGCTGCTGGAATTGCAATGGCCAGGACAGCCATGACCTCCCATGAGACACCCCACCCCCAGTGCGTGCGCGCGCACACACACACCAGAACGAGCCCAGACAGGCGGAATCACTCCCAGAACTTGTTAAAAGAACTCCCCCACTCAAAAACAAACAGAACAACACAACACTACAACCCCGGGTGCTCAGAACAACTCCAGAGAGTCAGGCAGGGCTGGTGAGAAACTGAGGCCCAGAATTGGAAAGGGACTTGGGAAGCTATTTAGGGGCCGAACTTGGGCCTGAACTCAGGCCTCTGTCTCCTGTTGCCCTGCTGCCCACCCCTCCATGGCCGGCCTTCACCTTCTGGGTCCCTTCTGGGGGCTATGTGATCTGCTTTTGGTGCCCGGAGAGCCCATGGCAGAGACCCCGGAGCAGCGGCACCCAGCTTCCCATCTGCCAAAGCCCCAGTGCCGACTGCCTGCTCGGGCCCAGGTGCTCACCCCAGCATCCTAGCAGGTGGGCAGCAGGTTAGCTGCTGCCTGCTGGGGTCTCCCCGGCCCAGGATGCCAGTTGCCCTTGTTCTGACCCAACCCCTGCTCCCCACCTACTCAGCCAGATTGCCACCCTGTGGCTGGACAGACCTACGGCTCCCTCATGATGACTTTATGGATTAAAGGGCCAACAGACTCTGGGCAAAGCCCAGAGCCCACCCTGATGCCCCTCCTCAGCGCAGAGTGGGGAACACCCCCCAGCAGCAACCTAGGCCCCCAGGGGGCCACACCCGGGCTGTTCAGTTCTAAATGCTCGCAGTCCTAGTTTGTGTCAACTCTGAAATGCTTGGGGAGACACTGAAGAAAGCAAGGCCTCAGAACTGGGATGCCCCTGGCCCAGGCTGCCTGACTGGAGCATGAGCTCTTAACCATGACCTTATACATAGCCCAGGGGGAGCTGAAGCTGCAGGGGTGGCCACGTGTAGGGTCCCCTCCCACCCTGGAGCCTGGCTGCTCCCTTCCTGACCCTGCCTGCCCCGCTGGGAGAGCTGATTCAGGGGGAGGTGGCTCACCCCACACGTGGATGTGGGGGGCGGGGGGCACTCACAGCCCACATCTGGAGGCCAGGCCACACCCGCTTCCTTCTGAGTCAGTGAGGGTAGAGCGGGTCCACTTGGGGGAGGAGGCTGGGTGTGGTGCAGGCAGCCCCCCTGGGATGGTGCCGGCAGGGCCAGAGGGGCACAAGGCCTTCCAGGTCCTGGTCCTAGCATCTTCTGAGGCTTGGTACAAGGCCCTGTCCCACCATTTACTCAGCAAAGATGAGCTAAGCATGCTCTGGGACACAAGGAAGCGGACAGGAGAGAGAGCAGGGGAAGGGGCACCAGCTGGGGGTCAGGGAAGGCCTCGCTGGCTGGCCTCTGTAAGGTGGTCATCAGTACAAACGAGTGAGGGGCAGAGGCTGATAGTCCCACTTCCGGGACAGAGGGGACCCTGTAGGTGGGCAGGGCCTGCGCAGGCCCAACCTGGTAACAGGCCTTTACCCAGAACTGGTCTCCCCAGTGACTTGTCTTGTCTATTCTGGGACCATGTGCCCCTCCTCTGCCTCACATTACGGGAGCCTGTGTTCCTGGGAGAGGAGCCCGATGGATGGCAGCAGGGCAGAACACGGGCTCAGCTGAGGGGGCCATTTTACCTACCATAGCCTGATGGTTGGCAGGTGTGGGCGAAGGGGAGGCTGAGCCCTAGCACAAAAGGTCCTTGTGTGAGCAGAAGGCGCCTGGAGGGGAGGGGTGGGGCCTCTTGGGGACTCTCAGGGTCCAGAGAGTGAGGACAGCGGGTAGGGTGGCCCCTGGGCTCCCCCAGGAACCTGAAAGGGGGCCTCATACTGTGACCCCATTCAGTCTAGAGCAGTTCCAGCTACAAGCTGGAGCCTAGAGCAGCTAAGGGAGCCGCCCCTTCATCAGCAGGGCAGGACCATCCCAGGCTGCAGGCCCAGCTGCACCTGGACATGGTTAAGGACCTAGACTCCGGCTCAGATTTCCTGGCAGTGGGACGGCAGCAAGTCACTACACCTCCTGGAGCCCCCCCCCTGCCCTTCTGTCATCTGGGAGCAATGAGGATAGTTTCCACCTGCCATGACTGCTGGGGGCACCACACGAGGGGACTGTAAATGCTCGGTGAGCTAACACAAGGTGAAGAGCTGCCGCCCCTTATTCTCAGTGCTCAGGCCAGAGTGGACCCCAAGAAATAGCGGATGAACCAGTCTGCAGAATGTTTCTAGGGCCAGCTGATTTTGGGACCACCCCGCAGCCAGTGTCCCTCAACGTGCCCCCTGGATGAGCCCAGGGAGGCCAGGACCCTCCACCTCTGGATCTGTCATCACACCTCAGAGATGGGGGATCTGAAGCCCAGGGTTCCCTGCCTCCCTATCTGCCCCCCCACACAGGGGAACACCTGCCAACAGCTCAGGCCCCCCTCTGCCCCCTCCCCTAGGAACATGCCCCCTGGCCACATCCTGGAGGGCCCTCAGCTCCCATACTGGGCAGGTCTGACTTCACAAGTGGAAAAACACCGATCCCATAGTTTCCATGTGAAGTCTTCCTGCGGCGGTCTCCTCCTCACTTGGAGGACACAGAGCGTGGCGGCAGGGGCCGGCGGCACGGGGCAGGCAGCTTCTCTACTTACGCGCTGGCTGCCCGCCCCTTCTCTCCCAGACGCTGCGGGGAGGGGCTGCTGCTCTTGGACCCACGGGCTCCCCCTCCTTGCCTGTCCACCTCAGCAGAGATTTGTGGGGGGAGGGGACTTGAAGGGAGGGCACAGAGCCTGATGCTTTTTGACCACGTTCTCTCAAGCTGTAGAGGTGAGAGGGCTGGGGTTAAGGAGAGGGGAGTTTTTGTGGCCACTGAGTGTCTGGGTGCCAGCCTCTCTGCACGCATCAGCCCACTGAGCCCTGGTGACAGCACAGGAAGTAGCAAGTGATGGCGTAACGAAATCACGGGAGGGCTCAAAGTCACTCAGTGAGGGAGCTGATGGGGCTGGGACAGGAATGGGGCCGGGGCACTGGGGACCTGACCATACCTGCTGTGCGCTGTTGGATTTGGGGGCAGGGAATGCCCTTCCTGGTCCCTTCCTGGCGTGACTGTCCCCCGGACCCCTGGCTCATGGTGTCATCTCTCTCTCTCCCCTGCTCCCAGGAACCAGAAGATGTGCTCCAGAGTCCCCCCCCGCCTGCTGCTGCCGCTGCTGCTGCCGCTGCTGGCCCCGGAACCTGGGGTGCAGGGCTGCCCACCCGGCTGCCAGTGCCACCAGCCACAGACGGTCTTCTGCACCGCCCGCCAGGGAGCCACCGTGCCCCACGACGTACCACCCGACACAGCGGGCCTCTACGTCTTCGAGAACGGCATCACCACGCTCGATGCAGCCAGCTTTGCCAGCCTGCCGGGGCTGCAGCTCCTGGACCTGTCACAGAACCAGATCGCCAGCCTGCCCGCCGGGGTCTTCCAGCCACTTGCCAACCTCAGCAACCTGGACCTGACGGCCAACAGGCTTCGCGAGATCACCAACGAGACCTTCCGCGGCCTGAGGCGCCTGGAGCGCCTCTACCTGGGCAAGAACCGCATCCGCCACATCCAGCCCGGAGCCTTTGACACGCTCGACGGCCTCCTGGAGCTCAAGCTGCAGGACAACGAACTGAGGGCACTGCCCCCGCTGCGCCTGCCGCGCCTGCTACTGCTTGACCTCAGCCACAACAGCCTCCCAGCCCTGGAGCCTGGCACCCTGGACACTGCCAACGTGGAGGCACTGCGGCTGGCTGGCCTGGGGCTGCGGCGCCTGGACGAGGGGCTCTTCAGCCGCCTGCGCAACCTCCACGACCTGGACGTGTCTGACAACCAGCTGGAGCGCGTGCCACCCGCCATCCAGGGCCTGCGGGGTCTCACGCGCCTGCGGCTGGCGGGCAACACCCGCATGGCCCAGCTGCGGCCCGAGGGCCTGGCCGGCCTGGTGGCCCTGCAGGAGCTGGACCTGAGCAACCTGAGCCTGCAGGCACTCCCGCACGAGCTGTCGGGCCTGTTCCCCCGCCTGCGGCTCCTGGCGGCCGCCCGCAACCCCTTCAACTGCGTCTGCCCCCTAAGCTGGTTTGGGCCTTGGGTACGGGAGAGCCATGTGGCGCTGGCCAGCCCTGAGGAGACACGCTGCCACTTCCCGCCCAAGAATGCTGGCCGACTGCTCCTAGACCTCGAATATGCTGACTTTGGCTGCCCCGCCACCACCACCACGGCCACGGCGCCCACCACGAAGCCCGCGGTGTGGGGCCCCACGTTCTCCCCCTCCAGTCCGGCTCCCACCTGGCTCAACCCCACAGAGCTGGCCACCGAGGCCCCCAGCGTGCCCCCTGTGGCCCTGCCCACGGTGGGGCCTCCCCCCAGGCCCCAGGACTGCCCAGCGTCCGTTTGCCTCAACGGGGGCACCTGCCACCTGGGGGTGCAGGGCCACCTGGAGTGCTTGTGCCCTGAGCTCTTCACGGGCCTGTATTGCGAGAGCCAGGTGAGGCAGGGGCCCCCGCCCAGCCCCGCCCCAGCCACGCTGCAGCCGCCCCAGCCCCTGCCCCTGGGCATCGAGCCGGCCAGCCCCACCTCCCTGCGCGTGGGGCTGCAGCGCTACCTGCAGGGCAGTGCCGTGCAGCTCAGAAGCCTCCGCCTCACTTACCGCAACCTGTCAGGCCCCGACAAGCGGCCCGTGACGCTGCGCCTGCCTGCTTCACTTGCCGAGTACACAGTCACCCAGCTGCGGCCCAACGCGACCTATTCCATCTGCGTCAGGCCTCTGGGGGTCGGGCGGCTGCCCGAGGGCGAAGAGGCCTGTGGGGAGGCCCGCACACCGCCAGCCAGCCGCTCCAACCACGCCCCCGTCACCCAGGCCCGAGAGGGCAACCTGCCACTCCTCATTGCGCCAGCCCTGGCGGCCGTGCTCCTGGCTGCCCTGGCTGCTGTGGGGGCGGCCTACTGCGTGCGGCGGGGGCGGGCAGCGGCGGCTGTAGCGCACGGCAAAGGACAGGTGGGGCCCGGGGCTGGGCCCCTGGAGCTAGAGGGGGTGAAGGCCCCCTTGGAGCCAGGCCCCAAGGCGACTGAGGGCGGTGGGGAGGCCCTACCCAGTGGGCCGGAGTGTGAGGTGCCACTCATGGGCTACTCGGGGCCTGGCCCCCAGGGGCCCCTCCCCACCAAGCCCTACATCTAAGCCCGGGAGCGACAAGGCTGCTAGGCCGGGCTCTCAGCCCTGCTGGGATCCGCCAGCGCCCTCCTGCTGCCAGACCAAGGAAGTTCTCAGATCCCTAATGGGAGGACACAACAAGATCGCGGCTGTGTGACGTCGGCAAGACCCCGCCCCTCCGTCTCCTCATCCATGAGATCCTGGAACCCAGGTGACCACCTCTAAGGTGCCCCAAGCCTGAGTGCCTACAAGGGTGGCGTTTGCCCTGTCCTCTGCAACGTACAACCCCTGGGGAAGGGTGGGGCGGGCCCTGCCGTGTGCTGGTAACACAGGCCCAGGGCTGCCAGGCCCCACTCCCAAGGAGACTGGGGGCCAGTGAAGGAAGCCCCCAGAAAGACAGCAGAGGGAGAGTGGGGCTGGGGATGGGGCATGTGGGTCAGCCTCGGCCCCAAGGAGCAAAGGAACAAAAGAAACTGGAAAGACAGACGCTTTAGGAACATGTTTTGCTTTGGTTTTTTTAAAAACATATTTATAAGAGATTCTTTCCCATTTATTCTGGGAAAATGTTTTTCAAGCTCAGAGACAAGGACTTTGGTTTTTGTAAGACAAACAATGATATGAACGCCTTTTGTAAGAAAAATAAAAGATAAAATGAGTGTGTTTCTCTGGCGTGGCCCAGGCTACCTGGGCTGGGTGAGGGAGGGTCGGGGTGCAGGGTAGGTGTAAACGGATAGCTGTCTTTGTGGGGAAGCTGGGGGCCAGGAACCCTCTCCCCAGTGGGCACCGGGCCCTGGTCAGCAACCCCTGGGCTTGGGAGGGCTGCTGCTGAGGACCATGTCAGGAAGGGTGGCCCTTCCAGGTACCCCGCCCTGGGCTATGTCTGCCCAGCCTCAACTGGTACAGCCTCTCAGTTGAGACTGGGGTGCAGGCGGGAGCAGGGATGGGAGCTGGGCAGCTTCTAACCTCGAACAAGAGGGACATGAAGGCAGCCTCACCCCACCCAGGGCCAGTGGTCTGCCAACAGGAACTGTAGTGCTCCTGTGAGGCTGAGCAAGGCTCACGGCAGATAAAGGCCAAGAGGGTCCCCAAGGATCCCTCCTTGGGAAAGGGCCTGACAGGCACTTCACTGCCTCCCTTCCTCTGTGGAAGGGGTCCCTAGAGCTGTGTCCTGCAGGCCCCCACAGATGGTGCTGGGCCAGACAGAGCACACAGCCCTCCCTAAAGTCCTGATACCCTTCTACGTGGGCTCAGGCTGGGGCACCTTGCTCCCGGCCTCATGCTCCAGCAGCAAAGAGGGGTCTTGGTGGAGGGGCAGCACAGATCCTGAATGACAGGAACCATCTGGTGAGTGGGGAGGAAGGGCCAAGCCGGGGCTGTTAGGGGCAGGTGGCCCAGGAACAGGACCAAAGATCTGAGCCTGGCTCGCAAAGGCCTGATGGCCCTGTGATGCCCCTTTACTCTGCACTGGGGATGTGCCCAGGCTTTCCAGAAACCCCGGAAGTGGGAGTGTTTTCCAGGAAGGCCACGGGCTGCGTGGGGGCAGGGCCAGGGATGCAGACTGCAGCTCTGGCCTGGACTGGGTGCTGGGAGCTTGGGAACAAGGATGGTAGCACACCTTCCATGACCCTGAGACAGGAGGCAAAGTGGGCCCTGGGGCCGCGGAGAGGCGCTGCGAGCCCTGAGCAAGCCTCCCCGAGGCCCCATGCCTGCATCCCCTCTGTGGGTCACAGCCCCTGGGCCCCACCAGCCTCACCCTGGATGGAAGGAGGCAGCTCAGCCAGGCCTGGGGAGCAGGCCCTGGGGCTCAGGGCGTTGATGTCAGCGCCAAGTCAGGCCCAGCCACGCGAGGCTCTGGATTCAATTAGCGGCTGCTGTGGGTTCTGGCATGGGAAGGGAGGAGGTGGGCGGTGGGTCGTGGCGGGCAGAGGATGGTGGCAGTGAGCCTGGGTGGGGCCCCTTCTTCCTGAGGCAGTGGCAGCCCAGGTGGATTTCCTGTGAGCCTGGGTCCCATTAGGGGAGCGGCTATGGCGCGGCCTGCCCTCCCCCTCGGCAGCCTTGTCAAAGGGGCCATTGTGGGCCTGTGGGCTGCTGCTGAACACAGCGTGGCTGTTGAATAAATGTTTTCACTGCAAAGCCAAACCTGGCCTAGTGGGATGGCAGGGGGTGGGGTGGGGAGGCAGGACCCAAAGACAGAGGCTAAACACTCACTCCAGCCCTCCCAGAAAAGGTATTTGCGGTGTCCCATCAGATCAGGGCTGGGGGGTGTAGGGAGGCCCAGGGGCAGAGTGGAGACCAAGCCAAGAGGCAACCGTTACGCAGGGCAATCCCAGTGGCTCCAGGGCAGGGTCTAGGGATGGATGTGGGGAGATGCCAGTGTGACTCCTGGGTCCTTGCTGCCGCAGGCCCTGTGCCATACGGGCTACACATGCTCCTGTTAATGCCCAGCAAATGCCCTGCAGGAGAGAAGCACCACCGGCTGGGGAGGTGAGCCAGCAGCTTGCTCACAGCAGGCAGGGACAGGATCCCAACACAGCCTCCCTGGCCCAGCATGGGGCTGCCAGCCATGCGGGCCTCCAGGAGACGCGTGGGGCCACCGCGAAGGACAGAAGCTCCCTGGTGTGAAGCAGCAGAGACCGAACCCCAGCCTCACCCTGCCCGGAATGGCTGCTGTGGTGAGCTCAACAGACAATCAACTTCTCTGGCCTCAGATGCCTCTTGAGGAACATGAAGAGATACATCCCCATCTGCCTGCGGCCGATGGGTACAGCTGACCGTTCACCCACCCAGAAGCATCGCCCAAGACGGTGTTTCTGAACCTCCCAGTCTAGAACATGAGCTGCTCCTTCAGTGCCAAGCCTGCCCTGCCACTTACCCTCCCACCTCCAGCCTGCACGGACCACAGTGCCTGGGACACCCGCTGGGCCTGCTGCCTGAGCCCGGCTTCACGGACAGGCCCCTGACGCCCTGCTCTTCCAACCATGGCATGTCTCCGCTGAGTGAGCTGCACTCCATGGACAATGGGGATGAGGAGGACACAGGTGGGAGCTGTGACAGAAGCCTCTGAGAGGGTGGGGCCCTGGGCACTCCCTAGGAGATGACAGGGAGAGGTGTGTGCCTCACCCCCGGCCCCCTTTAGCTTTTAAAAGAAACACACTGTTCTGCTCAAATTGAGATGGAAAATCTGTAGAACAGAGAAGAAATTGAGGGGTACAGTGGAAATCCATGGCTGTCCCCACATCTGACACCCTGCATACTTCCCATCTTCAGTCCAGATCATTCAGCAGGGCTGACACCTCAGGGAGGCTGAGGGGACAAGCGATATGCCACCACTACACCCTGGTCCACCCACTTTACCGAGGGCCGGAGAGTCCCCACTCCCCTGCCAAGGGTGTGGCCTGGCAGGGCAGGGGCCAGGACTGGGGGATGGTGGGGGTGGGACACTGCTCTGGCCACCCATCTGGGAGTGATTTGAGAAATTCCAGGCCTTGCTGGCCCTGCAAAGCTATTCTTAACTGCTCTAATTACAGGGTCAGCCTTGGCCAGTGGCACCGAAGGGTCTGGGCATCGTTAACTCCTCCAGGGGCCACGCTGGGGATGGGCGGGGGCTGCTCTGCGGGGGAGGGGGACCCATCAGGGGCCAGGGGTGGAGTCTGGAAGGCAGGAAGTGGTGGGTGGAGGAGTACTTGATGGCTAGCCCTGGGTCCCCTTTCAAGGCTGGGCCAGCTCTCTCCTTCTGCTGGGGAGCCCTGTAGGGAAGAGGTTGTCTGGCCTGGGGAGGTGTGGAGGAAAAGATACGAATGCAGCATCAGGCCCAGGAGCTCTTATTCTTCCAATGCAGTGGGTCCCAGTGACTGCTCCCTCCGAATCCCCAGGGCCCAGAGTAAGCAGAGGCCTTGTACTGTGTGGTTTCAAGGCACTGGATCTCACTCAGCTTCGCCTTCCTCATTTGCAAAATGGGCCTCACCAGCTCCCCAACCTCTCCCTGGGTTGTAAGAAGGGGTGGGAGCGGAGGGTCACTGCCACCATTATCCCTTCTCTGGGAGATGCCCTGGCAAGAGGTCTTAGGGCAGTCAGGCTTTCCCACCCCCAAATACGGTCCATGCTACTCCTGGAGCTTGGATAGATCACTGCACCTTCAGTGACTCAGTTTCCCTAGCCGTGAAACGGAAGAGGAAGGGGCTGGACGGACAGCCAAGAACCAAGACCCTCTCCTGGCTCTGACCTTCACAGATCCCTGCCTGGGGAGCACGTGGGGGTCCCAGCAAGCCCCTCCAAGACTCCTGGCTGAGCAGGGCTGAGGCTTCTGAAAGGGAACCAGGCCCCCGCCTCCTCCTACCCCAGCCAGGCTGGTCCCCCATTCTCCTGCGCCTGTTTCCTCAGCTGTGATATGGGGAGTCACCACTGAGAGCCTCCTGTGCCTAAAGCCACAGCAAGCCCAGGCCCCCTGCATAGAGCTGGCTTGGCCAGTCTCTATGGCACCACCACAAACCCTCCTGCATGAACTTCCAGGAGGATAGAAAGATGAGGTGCACTTGTAGTCCCAAGCTGCCGGGGCGCACCCCGCCCCCAAAACGACCAGAGACAGGCGTGTGGCCAGGGCTGAGGAGGTTTCATAAAGCCTGTGAGTCCAAGGCCTGCCTCCCTCTGTCACTTGTGCCTCCAAGCCTGCCAGCCCGTCTGTTTCCACATCATCCCACCTCACATCACCCCATGTCCACCCTGCCATCCGTGAAGCTTCAGTCTCCTTGACCCTCAGCACCACCAAAATGGCCACAGCCAAACCAAGTACATTCCCACATTTCCCATCCATATGTCTGCCGGGTCACGGTCAGGGCCCCAAATGCCGACACATGCCAGTGTGAGCCCGGGGGGCTGAAAGCCTGCATGACCAAGGGCCCCCTCTGTTGCTAGGGACCATGTGGGATGGGGTCAGTAGGCTCATCCGCTCATGCAGAGCTGCCTCACCACCCCCTGCTGGTGAAGCTCCAGGGGGCTTTTGCAGGGCCAGGACCAGGTTTCTTCTGCAAGACCTTGCAGACCAGCTTGAGCACCCCAACCGCTTCGGTGATTAGCTCCTCACTGACAAGATCTGAGCCAGGTGAAGCTGCTCCACATGGACTGGGCCCCTCCACTCCACAGGTGGCCTTGCCATGGCACGGCAGAGGCCCTCACCCCGAGTGTCCACTACAGACCTGGATTCGAGACACCATCCAGGCCCTTGACCCTCCCCCCCAGCCCATCCCAGCATGCCAGCCGCTCCTACCCGGGTGAGGTGTCCAGGCTGAGGGAGGTGAGGGCGCTGGAGAAGTGCCGGGTGTCCCACAGCTTCACTTCCCGCTCACGCATCTGCATGGAGGAGGCAGAGGGGCTCAGAGGGGCCCAACCCTCAGCCCCCTAGGCTCCCTGGGAACCCAGCGCCTGAGGACACAGCCTGGCACAAGGGTACTTGCCCCACTGCAGAGCATGGAGTGGGGGGGTGAGTCATGCCAGGGATGGAGAGTCTGGGTTTTCATGTCCTGCCCCTTTAAGAACCCGAAGGTGACAAGGGACAAGGGGCGGTTCTGTCCACGGACTCTGGGGGGGGGTGCTGCCACGGTTCCCAGGGTCAGGCTTAGCTATTGCAAATGGAATCTGCCAGTTTTCAGCAGCTGGAGGTCCCCTGGGGCTCTGAGACCCGGCTGCACACAGGGCCGTATATGGACAGGCCTAGGGCTGGCAGACCATCCCCCACCTCCCAGTGGGGCTCATCCCTACCCTCTTGGTGTGGGTGCCCTGCCCATCTGGGAGTGGCCCTACCTGGTTGAATCCAGTGGACACAAGGTGCTCCTGGGTGACCGTCCACGCCAGCCGACCATCCTTGCTGTTCTCGTGGGCCTCTGTGCTCTGGAGACAAAAGATGGCGCTGAGCCAGGCACCTGGGTGGCTCAATTGGTAAAGTGACTGCCTTCGGCTCAGATCATGATCCTGGAGTCCCGGGATCGAGTCCCGCATCGGGCTCCCTGCTTAGCTGGAGAGTCTGCTTCTTCCCCTGACCCTCCCCCCTTCTCGTGCTCTCTCTCTCAAATAAATAAATAAAATCTTTAAGAAAAAAAAAAGATGGCGCTGAGTTGGGGCCTCATGGGTGGGTGACCTGCCTGGAAGGCCCACAGAGGGTAGTAGGGGCCGGGATGGTAACCCCCAGAGGCTAGCTGGGGACAGGGGAGGCCTCATATCACTACAGGATGGACCCCAGCCTTACCTTGGCTGAGGACAGCTCTGCACCCAGAGGGCTGACCTGGCCACCAAGCTTGGGCTCAGTCTGCCTCCTCCAAAGGGGACTGTCGGGGCTGCCTGCCGCAGGGACAGGGCTCAGGGCAGCAGCACACCCTTGTCCTTGCAGGTATCCGAGAGGAGGTGCTCAGCAGCCAGCTGCCATCCCCAGGCTCTGGGGATCCCCGTGCTCTCGGAGACCCTCATTTTTCTCACTTGTGAGTGGGGCTTACATTTGCAGGGCTGTCCAAGGACCAACTGACACCACATGCGAGAGCGACCGGCCTACTGCAGACCAAGGGAATATGAGCATCACGGCCGCCTCCTGACTGCCAGGGCCTGGGGAGAGGGCCCGGTGCTAAGCTCTGGGGAATGGTCCCCGGAGAGGGCAGATAAGTGCCAAGTGTCCAAGCTCCTCGCTTTCCCGCAGTGCTGGAGCTGCTAGCAGGAAGGCTTCCTGGGCTGAGGGAGGAGAAGGTTCATACCACAGGCGGCCTTGTCCCCAGGGCCCAGGCGGGGGGGGGGGGCTGTGGAGCAGAGGGGGCCAGAGGAAATGCAAACAGCTCCCTCCCAGTCACCTCGGCCCCTGGAGCCTGAGACCAAAGACCCTGTTACCAAAAATAGCTCACCCCAAACTGTGGCCAGCTTCCTCCAAGCTTCCCACGATCTCCTTGGGAATGAATGAGGGAGGGAGGTAGCCTGGGAGGAGCTGGCCCAGCGTCCCCTCCCCAGCCCGCGGAGGCGGACCCCAGCGTGGGAGACCCTGGAACAGCCCATGTTGTTCAAGGGGCTTTTCTCACTGCTCCCTTCCCCACTCGGCAGCCGGCACAGGAAATCAGGGCTGGAGCCTGAGAACCAGCACCCCATACTCCTCTCCACGTATGAGGGGCTGTGGGACCAGGGCAAGGTCAGCCGTGCCCTGACACCCTAGAGTCAGTGGTAAGTGTCACACGGGCCCTCCCTTTCACTGGTGTGTAAATATCCCATGTACACAGCAAACCAGATGGCTGGCAAAGCATCGTGCATCACTCATTCATTCAACAGACACACGAGGCCTCCCCAGGCCAAGGACCATGCTAGGAGCTGTGGGGGGGCCGGATAGTTCTCAGATGGATGGTCACGTTGTTGGGTGAAGCGGGGCTGCTCATTCATTTACTCTTCCATAATATGAATGTTTGAGCAGCATACTCCACTAGGCACTGGGGACATGTGAAAGTAGGAAGGGTTCCCCACCTCACTGAATATACAACTTGGGAGACATTGCTAAACCAAACAGAAATCACTGTGTCCCTACACATTATTATAAGTGCCAGGAAGGAACAAAGTGGAGGTTAAGGGCACCAGCTCTCCAGACTGGGTGAAAACCTGCCCCGTGACTAACTGCCTCATCCCAGCATGAATAGCTCTATACCTCTGTGCCTATTCCCTCATCTGTAGAAAGAGCACTGTAATGGGACAGACTTTGGAGGGCTGTTGTGGGAAGTGTTAACACTGGTAAATGTTCAGAGTGGCTTGTCTGGCACATATCCAATATGCATTTTCTTAAAAAGCATGATAACAGAGTAGGATAAAAGTATAATAGAGGGAAGTACATTTAAGGTAACATTTGAGTGAAGGTGGGAAGGACCAGCAGGCATGAGCCAGGCAGGGGAGCCAGCACCTGTGAAGAGTGGGGACCTGGGAGAGCAAAAAGGCCAGCGCAGCTACAGAGGGCAGGGAGCAAGGGCGAGGAGGCGCCCCCAAGCCTAGGGGCGTGTGAACTGTGATGGAGCATTTTTCATATGGAGGCACAGGTCGGGGACAGAATCTACCTTGGCCCGTCTTCTACCTTCCTATTTCACACATGGAAAAACCAGAGGCTCAGGGAGAAGAAGCCACCTGCCTCAAGTCACCCAGCAAGACAGCTGTCAGCTATCTGAGCCTCCTGCCCCCTGGGGGCTGGGTGATTGCCTTGTGTCTTTGTGAGAGGGACCTGAGGTGAGAACAGATGAGGAGACAGAGCAGCAGCTAGAAGGCAGCAGAGCTGGGACCAGGAGGGGCCCCGGGTCCCAGCTGCCCCCCAGCACACATCCCTGGATGAGCTCACACCAGGGGACCCAGGCTGCCCACAGGGTGGTGATGGGCAGGGCACTGGTCTCTGAGGACACTGAAGGCACCAAGGAAGCTGAGACGAGGCAGGAGCTTAGCCTGGGCCCAGCATGCCCACTGTGGGCACACCTGCCTCAGTGTGCCCAGGGGCCACAGGAAGCCCCACCATTTGGGGTGGGATGGCCACTGACCGCCTCCCCCTTCCACTGTCCCCAGATCATTAAAATGATTTTCATTTTCAAAACTGTCAAGTCCTTCTTCCCTGACCTCAGCGGCATTCAGGGAGGAGGAGCCCTCCTCTCTCCAGATCCCCCAAATTCTCATTCTCCTGAGCAGAGGGGAGGTTTAGCTGGAACTCAGGCAGTCTGTCATCCCGAAGTCCCAGCTCTGTCACAGGAGGCTTTAGGGGAAACCGCTGGTGGTAATCCCCAGCCTGCAGGCCAGGCCTCGGGCTTTCCGCCTCACAGGAGTGGCCTTTGTCCCAACAGGCAGCAGGGCATCCTGCTCATGGAGAAGCCCCTCGGTCCCCTCATGTCTCCCCCACACCTGGCCCCAAGGAGAGAACAGGAGGGGCTGACTGCCCAGCACAGGGGTGCCAGGAGCAGGCACATACCCAGCATTCCAGCCACAGGACAGCCAAATCCCCCGCTCTGTCGCCACAGCAGCGCTTCCTGAATGGGGCAGGGCAGCTGGAGGAGTAGCCCTGGGCTGCTGGGCTCCCTCCTTGTCCGAGGGGACCGTCTCTGGTGTAAGACCCCCACCACCCACCTATGCCCCTCCTCGGCCAGGCTCAGTCCTGGGCTCCAAATGCTGGCCCCCCAAGGCCTGCCTGACATACACCAAAGGCACAGGTCTACCAGCCCACGCCAGAGGTCAGAGGGCTCATCCCAGGCCCCTCCTGCCCCTGATGCTGGTGCTGAAGCCTCACCACTCCCTGGACACCCCTTCAGCTGCAGACTGCTACATCCCTGGACACCCATGGCTCCAGGGCCTTGGCCGCACCCACCCAGGCTCCAGCACATCGAAGGGTGAAGCGTCAAACAGATAGAGCCTGCCTAGGCCGCCTTGCTGTGACCCTAGGACAGAAATGACCAAAGGGCCAACTTTATGGGACAATCACGAGGGTGGAAAAAGATTGTGTGTGCCAAGGCTCGGGGTATAATAGTCATAAATGCAATCTAGAAACAAAGCTGGGGATGTGGTAACAGGAGGGAGCTGCCCAAGCATCCCCCGACCCAAGTTCAGGTCACACAGGGCGCAGAAAAGACAGCAGAGGACTCCCCAGGGCTCCCCGCCCAGCCTCCAGGCTATAGTGACAGCCCCTAGTGCACCCTCCCGACACCCCTCAACGATGCCCCCCCTCTAGTGGGGAAGGAGGATCTCAAAAGAAGGCACTCCCAGAAGGCCTCTCCCCCGAGCTGGCCCCTCAGCTCACACCGACCCTGGCCGCCAGCAGTGGTTTTCCTAATAGAAGCCAGGTGTGGGCCAGATGCCCTGGGCGGAAGTGGGGGGCAGGGCCACGAGGAGGGCAGCATTCCAGGCCCTGCTGCCCCCGCACCAGCGCAGAGCACAGGCACCATCCCAGCAGCTGGGAGGGGGTAGGAGCCACCCACGCTCTTCCCAGGTCTCCTTGGCCCAGAAGCCCCGTTCAGGGGGGCTCCCTCCAGAACCAGATCCTCTCCTCCTTCTTCTAGGAACTTGGGATTGGGAGCCCTTTGGACGGCAGCCACTGTCTCTCCACCTCGGCAACATCACGGTCCCCACCCCCCCACCGCCCCACTGCTTGCTGGAGGAAGAGGCAAGGAAGGAAGGAAGACAATGTTGGGCCAGGGGAGCTGGCCCCATAAAATGCCCAGTTGGGGCAAGAATGCGGGTACCATGCAAAGTGTCCTGGACCCTGAGAAAGCTGGAGGTAGAGGGCCTCAGCCTCCCTCCTTCAACCTGGGAACCCCTTTCCAGGCAGAGGCTTGGAGGTCAAGCACAGAAAGCTCCAGAGGGGGGCACTGCTTATACCCACACTGTCCTGAGACTCAGTCACCCACCGCCAGCCACAAGGCCAACCTCCCTGGGAAGCATGGCCACGGTGGGCTGGAATGGTGGGTGGACTAAAACCACCTCTGCCTGGCTTGGTTCACCTGTTAATACAGGACCTGCTTTTGGTCTTCAGCCAGTCAGAAACAGAACTGGCTGGGCTGTCTTGGGCAAAAAGCTGCTGTGGCCTACATGACGGGGATCCCGTGTGTGCATGTGTGCATGTGCATGTGCGTGCTACAGGTTGTGGGGGGAAGGCCCCCCACCCCTGACTACTGCTGATCAGGTTTAGGCTGGTGAATTACCCTTGACCCCAGGTAAGGAACAAGTCCTAGAGATGGACACAGGGTATCTGTGATGGGCCTGGGTTTCACTGGGGAGCTCTTTCCCTGAGCTGGCAGCAGGATCCTGATCTTTACCTTCCTCAGGAAAGAAGCCTCCTCACCTTCTAGAAAAATTTTTTAGAACTGTAAACCTACTCATCCCACTTTCTGCTTAAAATGGCTATAATGGCTTCCCCCAGCCCAGGTGACAGGCCCCTCACCACGTGCCTGGCACCAAGCTGATGTCAAATGAATGATTCCCTAGTAGCTCAGTGGCTATAGCATGAGCCCAGAACCCATCACCCACTCAGGACTCAAAAGGTCCCAAGCACCCCAAGCACCATCACAGACACAAACCAAACATGCTCAGTGCCTGGGTCCCACAGACCCCAAGTACAGAATGAGGGCCCACTGGTTATGAGACTGGAAGGGTACGGGTAGGGTGGCCGTGTCTTTCTGGCTCCTCCAAGGCTGGCCTCTGCCAACTGTGCCAGGAAGGGTAGGGAGGATGAGGGTCTCAAAGAAGTAGAGGAAGCTGGAATCTCAAATTAGCTTCCTAAAGCCACAGAATGCCTCCACTGAAGGCCTATAGACAGCCAGGCTGCACCCCACACTGTGATCAAAGTCAGGTCCTTCCAGGACCCAAAACACGTTTCCCAGGAAGAGCTCCTGGTAGCAGAAGCCCACTCCCAGGTGACCCCTACACACCCATAGGGCCGTGGCCAGGGGCACGGGGTGTGGCAAAATCTCTGCCAAGAGGCTGCCCCCACCTGTACCTGCTGGAGCCACTAGAGCCTCAACCCAGCCCCCTGCCCACACAACTCACCTGGGAGGCCCCTGGCTTTGCTCTGGGGTCGAAGATCCGCAGCTGCTTGTCCTGAAAAAGGAGAGAGGGGTAAACAGAGTGCACTAGGACAGGCAGGGTCCTTAGAGGCCAGCCTGTCTCCTCCACCCACAGGCTCTGATGGCCCCACCTCCTAGTACACAGGGCTGGCATCATGTACCAGGGGACCCCTCCCCAGCCTGGTTCCTTCTCACTTCTCCCCTGTTCCTGCCCCAGTCACCCACAATAGAGAACTCAGAGACAGGAGTTCACAATCCCTGAGCACCTACTATGTGCCAGGCCTACTACCCGCACGATCTCTCCCCATCTTTCCAACCACCTTATGAAGTGGTGCTCTCACCATGACCCCCTCACAAAGAGAGAAACTGAGGCCCAGAACCAAACTCTAGGCTACCAGCTGGTAATTGCCTGGCCCTGTGTTCAGCCCAGCCCAGAGAAGCACAAAAGTTGATGTCATTTCTACACCTAAAGAACCAGGTGTCTAACCAGGATAGCAAGCTTACACATCCTAACCATCACTCAGCATACAGTTACTGAGTCAGATTACCTAAGGGTGAAGATGGGAATAGATCAAAAGATAAATATTTATACTATATATGTATATATATGTCAAAATAAAACGTCCATACCTTGTATAAGGACTTTATTCCTGTGGAATAATCAGTGTGCATGCACATATGTACATGCATAAAGAAGTGGGGGAGAAAGGGGGCAGAATTTGTATCCACTGACCACTTACAGGCTTGGCCATGATAAATTGTTAAGTGCTACAAGGAAGGTGCAGAATAACATGGATGGTGTGATTCTGCTGCAGCAAAAATAAACGAAGATCTCTATTTGACCACATTCCTGTAGCTTTTGCAAGTTTGCTGAGCAAGAAAAAAGGTCTTGAATAGCATGGGCTGTGCATTAGTGCTGGGTACTGGGGAGGGGGAAAGTGGGGGGTGATTAGCTTTTCCTGTTTTATTCTTAACACAGTTCTACCTTGTTTCAATGAGCATGGATTCATATTTTCATATTTTGAAAAACAACAAACCAGAAATGAACAACTGGAATTTGAAATGAAAAGCACAATACCATTTCCATCAGCACCAAAAAGTCTGAAACACTTGGCTATAAATCTAAGAAAATACGTACAAGATCTACGGGAAGGATACCACAAACCTCTGATGAAAAGAATCAAAAAATCAAATAAGCGGGGCGCCTGGGTGGCTCAGTTGTTGGGCGTCTGCCTTCAGCTCAGGTCATGGTCCCAGGGTCCTGGGATCGAGCCCCATATCGGGTTCCCCACTTCACGGGAAGCCTGCTTCTCCCTCTCCCATTCCCCCTGCTTCTGTTTCCTCTCTCGCTGTGTCTCTCTCTGTCAAATAAATTAATAAAATCCAAAAAAAAAAATCAAATAAGCGGAGAAATATTCCATGTTCATGGATAGGAATACTCAATACCATCAAGACATCAGTTCTTCCCAAGTTGATCTACAGATTCAATGAAATCCCAATGAAAATTCCAGCAAGTTATTTTGTGGTTATTGACAAACTGATTTTAAAGTTTATATGAACAGGCTAAAGATTCAAAACAGTCAACGCAATACTGAAAGAGAAGACTAAGTCAAAGGACAGATACTGCCCGACTTTATTCTAAAGCTCTGTTAACCAATACAGTGTGGTATGGGTCTAAGGACAAACAAATCGAAGAAAGATAACAGACAGCCCAGAAACAGAACCCCATAAATACAGTCAACTGATTCTTGACAAAGAGTGAAGGCAATACAATTGGGAAAAGACAGTCTTTTTTTTTTTTTTTAAAGATTTATTTATTTATTTTGAGAGAGTGAGAATGAGAGAGAGAGAGAGAGAGCACATGAGAGGTGGGAGGGTTAGAGGGAGAAGCAGACTCCCCGCCGAGCAGGGAGCCCGATGCGGGACCCGATCCCGGGACTCCAGGATCATGACCTGAGCCGAAGGCAGTCGCCCAACCAACTGAGCCACCCAGGCGCCCAGGAAAAGACAGTCTTTTCAACAAATGGTACTAGAACAATTGTACATCCACAAGCAAAAAGATCAATCTACACATAGACTTCACATCTTTTACAAAAATCAACTCGAAAGGGATCACAGACCTAAATGAAAAATACAAACCTACAAAAGCTCGAGGAGATAATACAGGAGGAAATCTCAGTGTCCCTGGATTTGGCAATAACTATTTATTTATCTATTTTTAATTCACTTTCTCTCCTTTTTTTAAAAAAATTATTTCTTTATTTGAGAGAGAGAAAGAGAGAGTGTGCGCAAGCTGGGGGAGGAACAGAAGGGGATGGAGAGTGAAGTGGAAAGAATCTCAAGCAGACTCCGCACTGAGCATGGAACCCGACATGGGGCTCAATCTTACAACCCTGAGGTCATGACCTGAACCAAAATCAAGAGTTGGACGCTTAACCAACTGAGCCACGCAGGCGTCCCTAGCAATGACTTTTTAGATACAACATCGAAAGTACGACCTATGAAAGATAAAACTGGATTTCATTAAAATCATAAACTTCTGGTCTACAGAGACACTGTTAAGAAAATGAAAGGACAATCCAGAGACCGGGAGAAAATATTTGCACAGCATGTATATGAGAAAAGACTTGTATCCCAAATATACAAAGAACACTTAAAACTCAAAAATAAGAAAACAACCCAATTTAAAAAGTGGGCAAAAGACCTGAATGAACACCCCACCAAAAAAGATACACAAGATGAAAAGTGAACATGTGAAAGATGTTTAGTATCACATCTCATTAGGGAATTATAAACTAAAACATCAGTGAGGGCGCCTGGGTGGCTCAGTTGGTTAAGCAACTGCCTTCGGCTCAGGTCATGATCCTGGAGTCCCTGGATCGAGTCCCACATCGGGCTCCCTGCTCGGCAGGGAGTCTGCTTCTCCCTCTGACCCTCCTCCCTCTCATGCTCTCTGTCTCTCATTCTCTCTCTTGCAAATAAAAAACAAAAACAAAAAACAAAAAACAAAACAAAACAAAAAAAATCAGTGAATTACCACTGCACACCTATTAGAATGGCTAAAATTTTAAAAAATGTTAACACTGAATGCTGGCAAGATTATAGAGCAACAGAAACTCTTATTTGCCAATGGGAATGCGAATGGAACAGCAACTTTAGAAGACAGCCTGGCAGCTTCTTACAAAGCCAAAAATACTCTTGGGGCGCCTGGGTGGCTCAGTCGGTTAATTGTCTGCCTTCGGCTCAGGTCATGATCCCAGGGTCCTGGGATCGAGCCCCGCGTCGGGCTCCCTGCTCGGCGGGAGGCCTGCTTCTCCCTCTCCCACTCCCCCTGCTTGTGTTCCCTCTCTCGCTGTGTCTCTCTCTGTCAAATAAATAAATAAAATCTTTAACAAAAAAAAAGCAAAACAAAACAAAACAAAAAAAACAACTCAGGAAACAACACGCATTCGCAAGGATGTAGAGAAGCTGGAGCCCTTGTGAGCTGTTGATGGGCAAGTAAGATGGTGCAGCCGCTGTGGAAAACAGTGTGTCGGTTCCTTAAAAAAGTAAAAATAGAATTACCTTATGATCCAGCAATTCCCCTACTGAGTACATCCCCAAAAGAAGAGAGAAGAGGTCACGCAGAGCACAATATTATTCCCAGCACTCACAGTGTTCTGCACAATGGCCAAGAGGTGAGGGTCACCCAAGTGTCCATGGACAGAGGAGTGGGTCAACACAGTGTGGTATACACGCATGATGGAGTATTATTCGGCATGAAAAAAGGAATCCTGTCACATGCTACAACACAGAGGAACCTGGAGGACATTATGGTAAATGAAATAAACCAGTCACAAAAGGACGAATAGTACATGATTCCACCTACTTGAGGTATCTAAGCTGGTCAAAAATCACAGATATGGAGGGTAGAATGGTGCTTACCAAGGGCGGGGGGCAAAGGGAAGCTGTTGTTTAATGGGTATGGAGTTTCAGTTCAGGAGACCTGTTTCACAACAATGTAAGTAACCTTCACTTTACTTTCTACTTAAAAATGGTAAATTTTATGATGTGATTTTTACCACTATAAAGAAATAGCTGTCAATCCACAAAAAGACATGGAAGGCCCATAAATGCACATTACTAAGTGAAAGACGCCGATCTCGAAAGGCTACATGTTGTATGATCCCAACCATATGACACTAGGGAAAAGGCAAATCTCATAGAAACAGCAAAAAAGTCAGTGGTTGCCAGTGGTTTGGGAGAGGGAGGGAGGGACAAAGGGGTGAAGCCCAGGGCACTTTTAGGGTGGAGAAGCTATTCTGCACAATGCTGGAATGTGGGTGTATGATGTCGTGTATTTGTCAAAACCCCGATGTCGTGTATTTGTCAAAACCCCAACAATGCAACAGCAAAGGTGAACCCTAATGTAAATTCTGGCCTTTAGTCAATGTAGCAATATTGGTTTAACTATAACAAATGCATCACACCAACCAACATGAGACAGATGGGGGTAGGGGGGATATAGGAACTCTTGGTACTATCTGCTCAGTTTCTGCCTGGTTCCTGCCCAGGTGCGTGGGATGCAAGGCTAGCAAACAGTCCCTGCCGAGTACTGGACTCTGCAACCCACAGGCGGTCACAGGGAACTTCGGGGAGAAACTCAGACCTGAGGTGAATCTCCAAGGACAAGCAGAGCTTGCACTGGGAAGGGAAAGGTATTCACAGGAAGTGGAAATGCATGAAGGAAGATGTGGAAACAGGAACTTGCCGACACATGACATGAAGGGGAAGACAAGGCCATGCAAGGAGAGTAGATGGTGGGAATGGAGGGGCTGGTGGGTGAGTGCACAACTGGATAAGAGCGGGGGCCAGCCCGGGGGCCTTGAAAGCCCGGCCTCCCGTGGCAGGCCAGTCCCAGGTCTTCCTGATGCACCTGGCAGGGTCCCAGGGCTCTTGGGTCACTCCTGGCAAAGTCTTTCCAGCTGCCGTTTACTGAGCACTTGCTGTGTTGATGGGAAGCAGGCACAGTTCAGGAACTAGCTAGCTGTGCAG